GACTTGAAGTTGTTATTCGTTTCGCCGATGTCTGCCTAACGGATTAGCCATCGCGTAGGACAGGATTATAGTGCCCAATGTATGCGCAAGCACAGGTGCACTCCCTATTCCCTCACTCTCATAATCCGATGGAACGGTAAACTGACACGACCGGAGATCAGAGATCAGGCGCAGGATCAACGGCTTTACGTGATTTCCAAGGCACGGGGTGAGACACCACCAACTCTCTGTTTCCGGACAACTACTAAGAATTTCTTGACGGAAAAACTCAACAATTAAGTTTTTGGCCCGACTCGGGATTCTAACCCAGGACCACATTATCAGCAGTCGCACTACTACAACCACTAGACCAACGAGGCAGTTATATACTATACTATACAAGTTTTTTACCCACAGCTTCGCTCGCGTGGGCTCCAAAATCAACTAAGTTGGATCACGAGTACAATAACTCTATATTCTATATCTCTATATTCTATCGCCTCGTTGTCACGTTTTTTAGTCCAGTGATATCTTCTGAATTCTTGGAGATTATTAGACGTAGTGTTTTTAGAATTGCATTAGTATCATACGTCTAGCAACCCCTGTCATTTTTTATATCGTTCATGACTTCTGAGGTATCTTTAATAATAAATTGTCTTTGATTCAATGTTACACTATTTACTTTTTACTCTTTACATTTATTGATAAATTAAGGTAATTTAATTTTGAACAAATAGTGTCGAATTTCGTTGTCTTCTATAACTACACGGCACTGTTTATTTACAATATTTGTTTTATATCATTGGCCTATCCCCTATTCTGTACAAACGCCATATTATGGCGTCTCAAATACGAGTCTCGTAATATGCGCATCTGTCAAACGACATACAACAACAATCATAATATGTATGCCGTCGAGTGATAGAAAACTATTTGTAATACATACTATAATATATATATATATATATATATATATATATATACATAAATATATAAAACTTATATATATGCATATTGAATATTGATTGGCGCTTTAAAATTGTTATTTATATTTTTACTAATCCATCAAATAGAGATATAAACTTACATCGGATAACTTAATACCAGGAAGTTAGTGAAATTATTGCTATGCGTATGCCGATATACACCCAATAAGTATAGTTACTAAAAAGTTTCTCTTTTAATCACAGTTTTGTATACTCGGTATCCAGTATACTCGTAACAGTTAGTTATTTTGCTAAACATGGCAATTACGGTAAATCATCCCGATAATGGCTGGATATCTAAAGTTTTTGATTCTGCAAGAATAAGTATTCAGTAGCATTATATTTAATTTAATCGGTTAGTTATTATTAGTTTATTTGGCAGTAAATAGATGGCGCTAATTTTAGATTAAAACTATGAAAGCCAAATAGAAGAAAGATTGAGAGAGATAGAAGTAGAATTGATCATATTATCATGAAGTGCTAGACCACTTCAAATATCGCAATCATTTCATGATAGCCTATTATAACTGACCATCTCTCCATAGTATAAAACAAAGTCGCTTCCCACCGTCTGTACTCTGTACGCTTAGATCTTTTAAACTACGCAACGAATTTTGATGAGGTTTTCATCAATAGACAGAATGATTCAAAAGAAAGATTTATGCATGTGTATAATACATGCATATTATAGTAATCTATACATATAGAAATCAATTGCTGTCCGACAGTCTCGCTAAAACTCACCGATTTACAACTAATAGCGTATACATTGCCCCAAGAATGAATTCTGAATTGAGTCTGTGGAGTCGAGAAACTGGTAACACTAGCTTGTCTTTGTTCTTGGTGTTTAGAAAGTGTATATCTCTTTTTTACTTAAACTACCTTCGTTTTTATAAACATACTTTAAATTATCGTAAATATACTGAGAGGTCAAAGTTAATATATTTATTTCTTTAAATTTTTGTAGTAAAATTTCTTTACACACGCTTGACTTGGGAAGCAAGCCTGCAAACGCGTGACGAAAGCGTTACAAAAAGTTTGATCGTGCATGGCGAACGAGAGTTGAGTGGGGGATATAAGCAAGAGAGAGAGAGAGAGAGAGAGAGAGAGAGAGAGAGAGAGAGAGAGAGAGCAGTGCGCGCGCACATTTTCTTTCTCTCTTTCTCTCATAGCCAGTTATTTTTCGTAATTTTATTTCGTTTTGAACAATTTTATGAACTAATATTTTTTTTCAATATTCTACGTTTAAAGTGAATAAAATTGTAAATTAATTTTAAAGTTCATGTTTTGTGAATTTTCGGGTGAATAATAACAAATTATGGAAAGAAGCCGATAATAAATTTAAATATTTGTGGAAAATTAACATATGTACATGCATGTATTTAATATGCATATATATATATATATATATATATATATATATATATATATATATATATATATATATATATATATATATATATGTATGTATAGTAAAGAAACCCTTACAAGCACTGCAAAGTTCTTCAAGCAAAAAAATTCTTTGTGAGACTTCTCCGCGCAATGAAGTGGGTGTGGTGGTGCAGAAAGAAGATTCTAAAAGGTCCCGCCGTTTAATTGCTAAAAAATAGCTTGCTTAATTTACATATTATGGTATTCCTAGGCATCCTTTTTTTTGTAATCCCTTGTATTATATTATTGATTTACATATATTAACATAAGTGTTTATAGTCCCGCATCTTCTTGGTTGCAATGACTGTAGCACAGAACAATATTGTCTGTACTGTAGTCATAAGTTGTTCACATTTTTACAGCAGTGTAATTGCAATTATTTTTAAAGTTGTTTTCTTCTAATAATATAGTATTCATAGGAATTTTTATTTTTCTAAATATAAACTTAATGAGATTTTATCTTGTAATACATAACGGGCTTGCGTTTAGTTTTCTTTGTTTCTTAGTTGACGATTCTTATTTAGTAGGTTTGTTTATACTATGCTTGATATTGGTAGCAATAATTATATTTTTGTAAATGTACCTACCACATATTTTTAATTTGATTTTTTTTAAATAACTATATGGCCCTTGGTATTGTGATAATGTCACAATAATTCTGCCAATGTAAAATTTTGGGTTTTGATTTATACAAAGGTACTCTGTGGTTTTGATTTGATTGATTTGACAATGACAACTATATATTACTTTTTTTGCCTTTTATAGACAAAGGACACATGTATCATACAGCCATCGTCGATCTTATACTTTGCTTTAATCGATTTTCTCTTGGTAAACATTCTCCTGTATTATTTTGTGTGACAGGAAATTTATTATTAGTCAAGATTATTTTTGCCACTTTAGATATTATAGATCATAAGTTTGCATATAGAATTTATTTATATTAAGTTTACTCTGTAAACAGTGAACTGATGGGTTGGTGATGTTTATGTTTAGTAATTGTTACTTAATAGTTATAGTTTAAATAACTTAATTTTTTTATTATATTTTTTATTATTTTTATATATATTTATTTAATTAATTTATTATTTTAGTATATGTAATGTGTCCGATGTTGAGTCGTTTAGCTCTGCAAATGATTCTTCTACTTTGTCATTTCACTCTTGTAATGAATCTTTCAACGATAGCGTACTTAATTTACACGAACTACTCAAAAGAGTTTTTACATCTTTTAACAACTCTGTGAACATATTATGTCATATTAACGCTCAAAGTATCGAATATGAACTTGTAGCTTATATATAGTATATATATATATATATGGATATTTTCTATATTGATATATATACTATATATATATATTTACAGATGGAGCTAAAGAAATTTTATTTCAGTCGTGTGGTCATGAGTACCCTCGTTTTTTTCTAAGAGACTATCGGTTTTAGGTTGTAAATAGCTCTTCTGAAAAACAAAAATAGTTTCTAAATGAGCTGCATTTCTCTATAGCAAAATCACATATGACATTATGCTATGGAAATAACTGGAACGTAAAGATATTGTGAGCCTCTCAGTTGAGCAAATTTTAGAGATGACATGTATTGAGTTAGATGACCTCATTGTTGTGAACAGAACTCCATGTTAATATTCTTTAAAAAAATAAAGAGAGGAAATTGGCGACTTTAATATCACTCTCCTAGAAGCTTACTCCACCAATATTAAATTAAGGTCATTTATCAATAAACCACACATTCTTTTTAATTTATTGTAGATCCAACGCGTATTACTGAATCTAGTGCAACATTTTGTACTGACAACATGTTTACAAATGTCTAGCCGTTTCATAAATGTATAATTCTAAGAGTGAGTCGATCCGCCCTTGTCTTTGCCTGGATAGGATCTATTAATATGAGTTTATTAATTTTTAATTTATATATATAAAGTTTTCATTTTCAGGTTTGGGTTCAATTTTCAATTAGATGATGTACACCCTCAAAAAAAATTATTTGTCTTTGTCTAAAAAATACGCCGAAACTGCTTCCTTCACTTCTTCATTGCTTAAAAACTTTTTCCCACGAATTTCTTTTTTTAAGTTTGGAAATAGATAATAATCACTGCGGGCCAGGTCAGGACTATAGGGTGGGTGTGGCTAAATTTTAAAGCCCACCTTCTGTGGTGTGCCTTTTTTGTGCCGCTGCTAAGAGTCCTGTTTGGACTCAAGTTCATAATGGTGAACCCTAGTTTCGTCACCAGTAACCAGTAGAACCAGCATGCTAGCGACCACCTCATTCCCATTTTTTTTTTTTTATTTGGTTTTGTTGGCTTTTTTTTTTTTCCTTTTCCCGTTTGACTCTCAATACCAAGTGGTAATGGTAAAGTCGGAACAAAAACTGTCCATTGCTGGTTGGTGGCAGAGATACGTGAGAGGGCGATACTGGGGCAGATGAACTCCTACACAGAAAAGCAGTTCGACCACTACAATGAAATAAAATGCAATTATATTTTAAGTAATTATAATGTCTTCGGAAATATATTTATTTTGTATTAGAGATACAGATTGCACAAATTTGAGATGACATCAAATAGTTCCAATATTAATAAAATCTTTTAATATCCTCCACCGAGACCTCCATGACCCAATCCACCACTTCTGTAACCTCCTCCTAGTCCTCCTTGGCCGATACCTCGGCCGCCTTGTCCTCCGAAGCCTCCTTGTATAGATCCCAATCCACCGCCGAGACCAGATTGTCGGCCACCTAAACCGCTGCCGCTGCTGTATCCAAGGCCATGGTGGCCGGAACCTAATCCACCTCCAATGCCGAGACCGCTGCTGCCTTGGCCGATTCCTGAGCGACGAATTCCACCACTCAAGTCTGAAATTATTGTTTTAAATTATGATATTATCCATCATCGACTACGATTAGTTCCAGGCTTTGCACGGGTGTGATCCACTAGTGTGTTGTTATAAAATTTCTGTGAAAAACCTTTAGTTAGTAATGCCACATCATGATCCATTACGTATTTAAAAATTTTCTTAATAAATCTATTCGATGTACATTTTTTAAATAAAATAATAAATAGAATTAAATATACGAGTATCTAGAATAAGTAAAAATAATATGCAGCAAAAACACTATTTAGCACGTGCTAAAACATATACAGTAGGACCATATTGTATGCAGTATACAGCAAAGTGCTTGAATAAATTCAAAGTTCAATAATATTCAAAACGTGTAGTCGCGCTGTTATCCTTCCCTCTCGTAGGAGGCGACTAATGAAAATGAAACAGTTGGACAGCGGTATCTTCTGATGTCATCTAAATATTATAAAAACTGCGGTTGCCAATCTGTCTGCCAAGCGTGGCAACTATAAATATAACCCAATGTACATCGAAACCAGTATAGATATAGATTGGGGGTTGGCCCATGTTTGACTTCTGAGAGGCTGTAGTGAAGGAATGAAAAATGAATCAAATATTCCAAAGTCACAGTAAATTCATTTTAAATTTTTTTATAAGTTGTTTTACAAACAAATATTAACTAATTTTAAGTAAACTGAAGTTACTGCGTATAATTGTTTCATTACTAGGCAAAGGTCTCCGTTCATTTCATCATGAATGAATGAATTGTTAAACAAGCATTTCCATCATTAGTGGAAATGCTTGTTTAACAATTCATGTTTGGCTGATTTCTCACATATTCGATATATTCAAACATTTTAAGACGTTCAGGGGTTTATATTAACAATAGCGTTCCCTCCATTTTATAGGGATTTCCCTTGCATCGTAGAAGCGTTTAACACCAATAAAAAATTACATAGAAAAACATCCAGACCTGGATCAATTTTTTGTTGGTTGGGAACAAATATTTGTTCCGTGTGGAATTCTAACCCATGACCCGCAGCGCCGCAGCCAAATGCTTAGCCTCTTAGCCACGGCGCTACCAAGCCGTTTTCTCACGAGATTTTTCTTTAACATCGAATATGTGACAAATCAGACTTAAAACTGCGATTATAAATGTCAGTGTAACCACGTGTCTGACCGTTAAATAACCAAGAAAGGTCTGAAAAAAGCTATAATGTTTGGATTTAGGTTATACAGTCTTTGGATTTAGGTAAATTATGCAATTTTTTTTTATTAAAAAGATTCAATCCACGTGTTATAACTTACCAGGCTCTGCAGCTGCTACTGCTATCAACGCCAGAGCAACGATCTGAAAATATGAAGTCTATTGAAAATCTTTTTACTTGGTATAAGTTTAAAAAACTCAGTTACTTTCATGCTAAATTTTCATATTTTGTTTGAAATGTCAATATTAATTAATTTATTATAAAAATAATTATTTACTATGTACTTACCAAGAACTTAGTCATTTTGGTATAAGAAGATATATTACAATTTTAGAATATGTTGAACTATGAACGAGCTACGTTTTCGAATAATACAAAACATAAAATCTCACGACTTATATAGTAAAGCTCACTAGGAACTCGCGATCTCTCCTTAACCTCGTACGTATAATAATATCTTTCGTGTTGAAAAAATACAGGTGTTGGCGCCGTTCTCTAAGTCAGCCAACCGTCTTATTTAAATTTTTACAGATTGTTTGTTTGTTGTTGTAGTTTTATGTTCTTTAAGTAACTAATTGATATATTTCACGAAACACCGTTATTGATAACAGCATGATAACATCAGTGTAGCATCATAATTCTACTGTGTTTCGTAATGTCAGTGCAGAGTATCGAAGACCATTCTTACTGGTAACGAGGTACTATCTCGATCTTCAAGGGTGACAACGCTTCTGCCTTTTGATTCTTAATCGATGATTAATGCAAAAGCTATGGACCACAGTATTCACTAAAATCAGGCACTGTGTATTCGTTTATCACCCTTATTTCTCTAAAAAGTTTGATTAAAAGATAGATAGTGTTGGGACTTCAAATAAAAAAGAAGAAAAAAGCGAGCCTTTCATATTTATTTTCTTTTGATGTCACATTGCTTATACATATCAACATAGATAAACATAGATCAACCTTTACAATACATCGAATTCATAGCATATATCATATTAAACATCGATGTTTATGTTACATGAAAATACTTTTTTTATTAAGAAAAACCTTAACACATCACTCTAGGATTTTTTTTATAAAAGAGGGGGCAAACGAGCATACGGTTCACCTGATATGAAGTGACTACCGCAGCCCATGAACAACCGCAACACCAGGGGAATTGTAGGTGCGTTGCTGGCCTTTTAGAAAAGAGTAAGCTCTTTTCTTGAAGGTTTCCAGGTCGTATTGGTCCGGAAAAATAGCCGGTGGTGATTAATTCCACAGAAAGTTCGTACGCAAAAGAAAACTCCTAGTGAAACGTACGGTGGTGGACCGCCAAGCATCCAGATGGTGTGGATGGTATCGGTACGTTTGCCGCGTAGTGCGTTCAGGAAATTTGGCGGCTGGGATTAATCCGAACAATTCCTAAGAGCACTCCCCATGGTATATGCGAAAGAAAATGCAAAGAGATGCAACATCTCTTCGCAGCGCCAGTGTTTCAAGCCTATCGGAAAGCACTCGGTCGTCGATGATTTGAGCCGCTCTGCGCTGGATGCGGTCAAGTGGAAGGAGCCCGTACTTGGTAGCTCCAGCCCAGAGATGGGAACAGTATTCCATGTGCGGCCGAACCTGCGCCTTGTAAAGTTGCAGGTGGTGTGCCGGCATGAAATACTGTCCCACTCTGCTTTTTAGAGACCAATTTGGCCTTCTCTTCCAAGTGACCACGAAACTGCACGTCACTCAATATGTCGACGCCGAGAATTCCGATACTGGCTGAGGCGACAAGGGGAGAGCTTTTAAACTGAGAAGATGTCGTATCTTAAAAAGGATTCTGTTCAGCGGTTAACGTGCAAACTTTTGCCTTCTGAGTGTTAAACTGGACTAGATTTGTTCGCCCCCAATCTGGGACTTTGTTCAGCAAAGATTCGACTTCAGACACAAGGTACTCGGAGACGTTTTCCCGAGAAATGGTGGCACGGCCGGTGTACAGAGCATCACCAGTGCTGTCATCTGTATAATAATGAATATTGCAGGTTTGCAACATATCATTGATATGCAGAAGAAACAGCGTTGGTGATAGCACGCAGCTTGCACCGTCTACAATGACTTTCATGCTCCGATCTGCAAGAAAGCTGGTGATCCAATTGCACAATTTTTCGACAAACCCATAGGAAGGGAGCTTCGAAAGAAGCGCTTTGTGTTAAACCCGATCGAAGGCTTTTTTCGGAATGTCCAAACTAAAGGCCAATGCCTCCCCCTTGGACTCTACTGTCGCTGCCCATCTATGAGTCAGGTAGACCAGAAGATCACCAGCTTATCGACCACGATGAAAAACAAAAATTTTAAAATATGAGCTTTTGGTTTTAAAAATTATAAGAAATAAAATTAATTTATACCATACTTCGGAAGTGTTTATAAATATTGCACACGATTAAACATCTACACCTGGAACAATTATTTGTAGAGCAAATACTTATTATTAGTAAGATTTGAACCCGCGGTCCCTAGCGCAACTAAATCTTTTTTAAACAAAGAAGAGGTGAATATTGAGCTGGTGAATTTGTTTAAATATTAATCTATCACTGACAAAACTTCTTGCGGCAGAACATCTGTTTTTGCTAGAATTATGATGCTAGAACTGGATTATAGACTGTGCTAGAACTATTGCTTAATATTTGTAAATATTATTTAATTAAGTGAATGACATAGAAAATGTTTAAAAATTTAATAAACATAATATCAATTTATGATGACAGGATGAAAATGGCAACGAAGAAAATGGCGGAGTGAAACCTACGCTTTTGTAGAATAAATATTATCCAGTTTTATTTTAATAATAAAAGGTTAGTTGTTAAACACTTAATAAGTGTTATGAAATATTAATACGTTACTTTTAATACTGGTTAAAATCTTAAATATTCATCTGCAATGAGACCAAATACATTAAAAATAAAACAACTACAAATAATTCTTAAAAATAATTAAATTTTAATTAATGACAAAAACACTCATAATTATCTTATTAACATATAATCCTTATTATATTATTTGATATATTATTATAATCCTTGAAATTTATTATTTTTATCTCGTCGACCTTATTAATTTTTATTTTCCGACTACAAAAAATAAGGAGGTTCCAATGGACTGAATGTTTTTATGTTTGTGACGCAATATTTTCGTGAACTGTGAATCAAAAAACTTTTTGTGTGGTGGAAGAAAAGACGATGTAGTTTTGAATGTAACTGTTTACAAGATAATGTAGTTATTACCTTAAGCTTGTGAAATTCCTTAGTTCATTTAGTAAGACTAAACAAATAAGTTTTTGATAAGAAGTGGTCGGTACTAGGCCATAGTGTGTCAAATAATTGAAGCTATAGTAGAACAGTTGACCAGCAAACTGGCACCATAAGCTCCCTTTGATATATTTTCGTGTCGGACACTGTTTGGCTGGGTTACCTGTACCTAAACCTACTTTTTACCGAGGCAGAGCCACGCTGTAGTTTTATTATGGTTGTAGTACAAGTGGGTAGCTCGACCGGGGAGGGACCTCGCTGTTAGAAAAATGAAAAAGTTAAGTAATACTAAAATTATACTCTATAAAAAAGGTATACTAGAAAAAGCAAGAATTAATAAATAAACTTAAACTATATATAATTGCGGTGGAAAACATGAAAAACTGTTAGACTGAAATAATTTGCCTTGTAATTAAGAAATCTTATTACTTAAAAACTCCCTACATATTATATCAAATACATTTGCTATAAGCTCAGGATAAAATAAAAGAACACATTATAATCATCATCATTACAGCCTTCACAAGTTCATTGCTGAAAATAGGCCTTCCCCCAAGTAATGCCACACAGCACGGTACTGAGACACCTGCATCCATCGACTTCCTGCATGTGTTACCTCGCCTTACACTACGGGCTGCCACTCGAGAACTTTTTTCCTCTTTGTTCTTCGAGCTATAGGATAAAATATATCTTTATATCTCATGTCACTACTGGCATCGCTCTCTATTTACTCGTAAAGATTCATGATTAAAACTACTTTTACGGATTTTATCGCGTTTATTTTTGCTTTTAATTACTTTTATTTTTAATTCCCGACGTTTCGGGCGCTTTCCAGCACCCATGGTCACGGGGGACTGAGATGACTGACGTCCCGATGTCATTGTTAAACCCGGAGTACCTTCAGCTTTTTAATTATTGTTTATGGTCCGATCTATGCAAAATGAACTGACTATGTCTTGAGGTCTTGCAGTGGTATGCTTGGGTTTAGTTTTAATTTTATTGATTATAGGATCCCAAATAGGTGGTAGTACCCAGCCTCCTTCTCTATTGAAATTAGGATGTTTTTTAATTTCAATAGCCTCACGTCCTTCCTTGGTAGGAATCGGTGTTCTTTCGCGAGGATTTGTGGTCTATCAAATCTGATGTAATGGTTGGGGCCGTCCAGGATATGATCACAAACTGCAGACTTCCCGGAACGTTGATGTTTCACATCAGCTATATATTCTTTTATGCGGGTTCTAATTGATCTTTTTGTTTGTCCTATATAAGAGAGACCACATTCACAATCAAGCTTGTACACACCTGCATCTTGTAGAGGAATATGACACTTGACGGATGGTAGGAACTGACTAATCTTCTTCGGCGGCTTGTAGAATGTTCTAATAGAAGCTCGCTTCAAGATATAGCCAATCTTGTCTGTAACACCTCTGACATATGGTAGTACAGCAGGCACACGCTCGACTGTGGCCGGCTTCACTCGGTCACTGTGACGTAGGCGCGGGACCCGAAGCTTGTTGTCGTGCAGAACTTTCTTGACGTGCTGAAGCTCGGCGGCCAGGTGTTTGCTGTCACAGATCCCTCGTGCTTTTTGTAACAAAGATTTGCCCACGGTAGCTAACTGTGAAGGATGGTGGTGAGATTCACCGTTTAAATATCGGTGTGTATGGGTCTTTTTCCTATACACAGTGTGACCAATGGTGTTATTAGGATTTCGGATGACTAACACATCTAGGAAAGGTAAGGAATTATTTGCCTCTAACTCCATAGTAAATAGAATTTTAGAGTTTATGGAATTAAGATGTTCTAAAAATGCTAACTGCATTTTTTGTCTGATGGTAAAATTGTGAAAGTATCGTCTACGTACCGCTTGTAGATCCTTGGTGTAACCGGTGCAGTAAAGAGGGCTTTCTCCTCAAAGTCTTCCATGAATATATCGGCGACAATGGGAGATACAGGTGAGCCCATCGCAACACCATCTACTTGCTTGTAAAACTCTTCTTTCCACAATAGATAGCCAGATGTAAG